TTCATTAATTAATCCAGATCCAATAAATATACATTGCTCAGCAAAGTATTTCCATACATTTTCACCCAAGTGTTTACAGTCATCTTGCTCCAGAACAGCTGCATCCAACTCTCCAGCTCGTTTTCCCTGAACTTCTTGTCCAGTACAAGTTCACAAGGGATCAATCTCCAGCAGTTATCCATCTACTAGCATGGAGAAGAGAGAAGGAAGGAGGAGTGAAGATCAAGGGGAAGGAAAGTGGCTTTCCTTGTGCCTGTGTTTGTGGAGACACACTCAGCTTATTAACACACACGAGAGTGGCTCCATAGGAACCTGCAAGGGAAAGTAGCCACCCTAAAACAGGATTTCATGGCCAGTGTTCAGAGGGCCAGCTGATTTTGCAGAAAACTACAACTTTAGACACCAAGAAGCAGCATCCATTGTAAGTGATGTAATCAACATTTGAAATAGCTTAAAACATTTTGACTGTAATATCAATTTAAATATTATAACACCACCAACCAAATTGTTTGTAAAGGATCATAAAGTGGTAATTATATTTACCAGCTAATATGTAACTTCGATACTTATGCTATATGGGTAGGAGACACTATACGGAGATAGTTTATTATTTATTACTAATTATTGCATATCCTCTTGAAGTTTATACTTTTTGTGCTTTCATGTTAGTATTTGATATGCTGTTAAATATACCTTTTTAAAATCAAATAAAGACTGTTGCAACCGAAGAAAAAGTAAAAGAAAATTCTTCATTTGTCTTACTTCTGAGCCAGGTAGGATTCCATTGGTCCAGTCCCTTGTCTTCCTTGTGTCTGGGCTATGAATCCTGCATTAAATGTGATGACATCAGCAGGCCTCCGACTGCCGGAGTGCAGGGGGGAAAGAGGCTGCAGGCTCTTTGGTTAGGCAAGACAAAAATAACATATATGAACTATTTGTAAATGTTTTCCCTTTGCCCCTGCCCTGCTTACCCTACCTTTTCTGTTTTATGAACTACAATCCTGATCTTGAGGAGAAAATAAAACAAACAGCAGCATGATAAAAAAAAAGTATTGGCAGCATGATAAAGAAAGTATTGTTTAAAATTGTTTGAGTAATCTAAATTGTTCCCCTAATTAGAACCCATGGTTTTTACTAACCTAATGACCTATGTGGTTTGTGGTAGTGAGTTGACTTTGATCCTCTACTGAAATGTAGAATTGTTAGAGTTAAAGTTGTGAACCAAATGACAAAATCATACTGAATACTCACTACATTTGTTACACTTGTTATGTGCTGATCTTAAATGATGGCTAATCTTCATAAGATGATTAAAGTGGTAGTCATGTAGTGTGGTATTATTTCTAAGCATATAAACATATCCCCTTACTCTTCACAGATATATGTGACGTAGACAAATCTTTTTAGCTCAGATGAGTCACATAGTGCTGGCTAGCCTAGTGGCCACAAGAAACTGCTTTTTTCAGCTTTATAGTGGATTCTGAGGGGCTGAATCACCCATTGGCTCTTTCCATTCATAGGGGAATATTGTGGCAAGGAATATTGTGTATCTTGCTGGAATTCCTCATTCTGCTCCTTCTCTCTTGCAATGGCCATTGGGAAGAGAAGCAGAGCCCCGTGCTGTATTCTAATAATAATAATAACGGACACCCAGGAGTGAGAATAAGACTGCCACAGTGGCTGTTGTAGGATGGTGAACGGTGACTGAGATGGAAACTCACCTGCAGGGACTTGGTTTTTTGAATTACTGGTGCGATAAAAATTATAGAGGATGATTTAGCCAAGCAAATGCAAGGAATTATTACATGTATTACAATACACGAGAAGTCAGTTTAGAATCCAGTGCCTATAATTTATGCCACAGGTAGCTTTGAGTGCACACCATGGGCTTCATTTATTTTTATAGAGTACAGGTATGCATGTATAGATGGTACAATTTTAAAGAGATTGGGTTAAAGGCTGAATAAAACAAGGCAAGTGACATTGTGAGGGTGTTGTGGTGCCTCCGGGCAGGTGACGCAGGCTCATCTGGGATGTGGAGTCTAAGTGACAGTTGACCTTCACCAGTGCTCTTATTGGTGGAGATGGGCCAGTGATCTCTTTGATGCAAACTGGCACCACTTTGCAGCCCCCAGGATAGTAGCTCTAAGGCTACAGTGTGGAGACTGTTTGCACAGCTGCATACAAGACAGTTGTCAGGTCCAGACGGGGGTCGAGGCAGGCAGCAGGTGAGAGAGTAGTCAGGTCCAAGAAGGGGTCAAGGCAGGTGGGGGAGTGGTCAGATCAATCCAGGTTGGCAACAGACAGGCAACTAAAAGGTAAGTACTATAGTGCTTTAGCTGTGGGGTAGCTGGTGATCAAACACAGGGTCAGTCTCCGGAAAGAAAGGTATTTAAATACCCTCCAAGTCAGTTAGCACAGCCAGCATCAGAGATGTGTGTGTCCATGCAAGCTAACACGTGCATAGCAATGTGTGTATGCTCGCACTTACTCGTATGACCAACCATAGCTACAGGCTATGGTTGGCATGAGGCAGATGCATAGGATGGGTCATACCCCTGGCTATACAGGCATGCATTCTAGAGGTACTGTAATGGAGAGCCCTGGAGCGCAGGGTTACAGGTAGGTATAAATTATGACCAAACCCCTGTAGGAGTAGCAGTAAAATATGTCTGCTAAAATCACACTTATCTAGTAAAGGAAACGTGTACTGAAGAAATATGTAGTCTTTCACTGTTATCCTTTTGGTTAAAACGATAGATGTCTGGTTGCTGTTCTAATCCTAATGCTTGAGTACTTTTAGTTTTTGACCTAAAACAAGTATGAGAACCAGGAGTTCTAACTTTTCTTGCCGCATACTTGTCCTAGGTCAGTGACTCAGAAATTATTGAGTCTGGAGACAGGGTATACTGAGCTTTGGGTCACAGGAGGATGCTAGTTTATGTCCTCCCGTGACCCTGAGGAGAACTATGGGGAAAAGCACTGACCCCATAGTTCTCCTTTTAAGTAATGATTGCAAATGTACCATAAAATGCATTATGGATTAAAGCACTATGTTGTACTGTATGTTGGATATCTAGAAAGCAAAAATTATTTTAAACTTCTTAGTCCATTGTGCTTCCAGCCAGTTATTTTCATACTTCCAGATGTAAACCCTATTACTAAATAAATATCTGCTGCTGGAAATGTATCAGTATTTATATTAAATTATCATTATAAAGTCTGTACATAAACAAAGAAGAATTAAAAGCCATGTTTACTGATTGTGTCTAATGTTTTTTTGTTTTCTAAGCCAATGAATGAGTCACCATAATGTAGCTAAGCAATGTTTTGGATTTCGATTCCAGAACTCCTTAAAAGGGTAGAGCGTATTTTCATATATTTCTTTTAAGACTAAAACTTGTCCAGCAAGCATGAGCCGTAGAGCATCTAGTTTGAAAAGCACATGCTCAGCAATATTTGGCTTTACTTATTATAAACAACGCAAGTACTTTGACTTGCAAGTGCAGTATACAATGTTCTGCCTTTCACACTTGTGCCTATAACATATTTTGAGACATTGTCAAAAATGTCATAGCCAAACGTTTGTAAACCATCTTTTTAAAGAATTCTACCCAAAACAGATAATGGCCTTTGGGGTTTCTGATCTCTTTCCAGTGCTACTTATAAGTACATTATCTAGATTGTGGAACAAAGAGTGCAAGGATATTGCAGAATCATTTGCTTCAATACTATAAGGAATCTGTATGTGATTCATTTATTCTATATCTTAAAGCGGAAGAGTAAGAAAATGAATGAGCAATTTTGAAAAAAAAGAGGACACCAAGCACAGGATTAGTAAGATAATAAGGTCCAAATGTATTCTTTTTAACTTGTATTATATTGGTGAGAGGGAGGTGAGGAAGAGACTTTTATTTTATGCTTACTTTGTTTCCTTTTTTTTGGTGGCAGTGGAGTTATATTTTACTTGTCTTGCGTAAGGTGAGATAAACATGTTTACTAAGACAAAGAGTAGCAGCATCAATTTACACCCCACTAGAAACACTCTCCCCTTCTTCTTCCAGATCTCTTACTGGACACTAACTGGAGGGTCCAAACCACCTGATAACGATCAGTGCCAGGATGTTGTTTGATAAAGTGACATATTGTTTGGGGAACCCCTGTGAAAGCAATAGCCTGATGCTGATGCGAATATGGACTGCTGTCTATATAGCAAAGGGCCTCCCTATGTTCCAACCTTTAGCTATGGTGATACCATCCCATGTACACATGTCAGAATGGTATTTGGTCCTTGGTACCCCCTTTTTTTATATTGAAAACATTTTGTAATTAGTCATGCTTCTTTATTAATAAACAAAGGAGAGTAACATCTTGTTTATTGAGTGTATAAAATGTATTTGGTTCCTAAACTGAAAAGTTAATTATTGAGTATATTACTATGTAGCATTGAGTTGTATTTTCTTGCCAGAACTCCTCAAAGCAAACATGTCATGAGAGAAACATAGAGGTGACCATTGTTGACCACTCATCAAAATGCTAATTGCCTGGCTGACCCTGTGGCTTACATTCTTTAAGTCACTAGGGTCAATTTAAGAATAAGAAATTAAATAAATAGAGGTGTTTCATCTAGCAAAGTGAATGAAAGTAAATAAGGTGAACCTGTGGTCACTTTGTATGTCCTATCATGTGTGATGAAAATTAAAAAATCAGATTTTTGCTAGCTTATGATTGGCTGATTAAATTGAACACAACTTGCATCTTATTTACTCAACGGTATCTTATTTACTAAGTTCAGTGAACATTCATATTACTAAGTGAAAAGTATCTGACAGCAGTTATAACCCTCCCTTACTCTATCTAAATCTAAAAAAAAAAAACACATTTTGCCTTCAGTTCTAAGTTTAAGTCAGTCTAAGCAAATAGGAGCAGTTAACATAAGCCAAAAATCACAAATGTTGTATCCCATTAACTAACAAATGTCTTTTCTGGTGACTTTCTAGTTCCCAGCGCTAACTGGAACTGTGGAGTGTCTGCTCTCATCGGAAACACACAAAAGCCAACCGGAATTGCAGATATCTACAGTAAGTTCCGGCCTGTTAAGAGGGTCTCCCCCTTGAAGCATCAGCCAGAGAGTCCAAAACTAAATGAAAGTGATGATCAAAAAGAGGAAAAGGAAGAAAATGAAAAGAATGGAGAATCTGGCAAAACTACTGGAAAAGATGGAGGTCCCGAAGAAGACAGTGGCTTTAAATGTAAGAGCATTGAGCCGAGTGTTTTGCTTGGTGAACTTGAACACTATGACCTTGATATGGATGAGATTTTAGATGTGCCATACATCAAATCCAGCCAGCCTATGACTTTGTTTACCAAGGTAGCCTCGGAAAAAAGGACTTCCAGCATAAACCCAATATCTAAAGGAAAAACTGGTCCCAAGGGGGACCTGGAGAACCTGCCACCCATTGCCACTCAGTACTGTGTATTGTCTCCTGTTAAAAACTCAGCTCAGCCCGCTGTCCTCTATCCAAGCAGGCATTCATCTGGGGGATTAGAGCATTCCCAGTCTAGCATTCAGTGCGGCTCAGTCCACGAACCTGATTGCTATAACAAGGGCTTCCTCAATAGGGCTCTGTCTGATTCCCATGCACAGAAGATTGAAAAAAGCATGCCTAACTGCCAGCTTCGGCCATTCCACCTGCCAGCACCAGACACACAACTAGATGGCATAAACGGCAATGTGAACTGGAGCTACTCCGAAGGAGAAGACATGAAAAAAATCAAGAGCATCTTGAATATTGTTAAAGAAGGACAAATATCTCTGTTGGTAAGTAAACTGAATGCTGATTATAATATGAAATTGCTTGAATGTTATCAACGAGCTGCTTCATTTAAGACACAGCTGTAGTGCTCACAATGGTGGCTGTGCATTCACAATAACAGTTCATTATGTCAGCCTGATTTATGTAGACTGGAACATAGAAAAGCAGCCAATCACCTATCATGTGTAATCCTGTATGAATGCCACGTAAAGTCTGAATGCTTGACTTCAGCAAATACCTAACGTTTCCTTTGATGTAATTTTCAGAAGTCAACTTCATTTTATTTTAATTCACATATAATTGTGTATAGAAAGTGAATGGATCCTGTTAAAAGTCTTTTGTTATAAAATTGATGCATATGTTCTAACCTATTTACCAGTGCTAATCACTGCAAGGAGTAATACATTCAGCAACATTGCAGATCCATTTATTTCCATGAAGTGCTACAGTTTGTCAGCTCTTCAGCTTGTTTTCATCCCAGTCGAAGATCAGCCTTGTTCCTCTCAGCTCCCTGTCATTGGCTCAGCGTGGGAACACCGGGCTGCCTGTTGTCCTTTCATTAGTATTCACAAGGTCTCTGTGCCAGCTCTTTGTAGCTACCATTCAAAGCCAGGAGCAGGAAAATAAAGCCTACAATGTCCCACGATCCATGCAAAGTATTTCATTAGCAACAACTTTGGCGCGTAGATTCCACAAGTGCGTGTTACCCCAGTAACAAGAGCACCAACAACGCAATTTAATAGGAGTAAGATTAGATCATCCATTACAAAATTAGGTTAGTTCTGCTGGATTGCTGCCTTCCTTCAGGACAGTGTGTGATTCTCTGATGTACATTTATTATTATTACAGTCAGTACAGCGCTGGCTGTACAGACTCATTATATAAAGCAAAGCCAAAGAAAGTCACATATGTGAAGGACACTTACCTATTATGCCCAACTAGGTATCAGTTTACTGGCATCAGACCAGTGAAAGATTTTTTTTTCTTCATTTATTTTCTTCATTTATCACTCTGGATTTCTGCACTTGCACTGCTGTTGCAAGGAAGGAATAAACATGCTTGTCCTTTATAGCAGTGTGAATGTAGCTGTCTCAGCTACAGGTTAATTAAAATTATTAGCATTTGCAACCCAACTCGAGGCAACATGAAATTTTAATAGTGCATTGTGCATGACTTACTTTACTCTTCAGTGTTGTTTGCAAGCACATGTTCCTGTCATGGATTGGGACTCACAGGTATAAACTGGAGGAGTCAGGTATGTGGACCCTTTCCACTACACTGGCAGGGACACTTAGAGAAAAGGGTCCAAGCAGTGTAGGGTGACGACTCCCAGAGCTGGAGTACAAGCAGGGAGCAGAGCAGGTATGTGAATGAGGCAGTGGAAGTCAGCTTAAGCTGGAAGTTCTAATACAAGGCAGGGTGCTGCAATGCTGATTAGGTGGCATCGGGTCCACCAGGATGTGGAATCTAAGAGCCAGACGGTATTCACCAGAGCTCCTGATGCGGGAGATGGGCTTGGCTGCGTGCTGACCCCAGGTCACAACCCCCAGGTCCACCCAACGCACCTAATAGGTACAGGGTACAAATCAAAGGTTAGGGACAGGCTAAAGACTTCCAGGGACAAAGTGAAGTACAGGGCAGCCAGTAGACAGGGATTTCCAAGGACAAAAGCGAAGCACAGGGCAGACAGTAGACAGGGATTTCCAAGGACAAGCCAAAGGTTCAGTACACAGGAAAACTTCCAGGAATACAGGGTAAATCACAAATGGGGGACTCGGCATCTGGCTTGGGAAACCGTTGCTCGGGCCGCGTGCCGTTCGCTGCCCTGAGTTTAAATAGGGACAGTAAGAGGGAGGAACCACAGGATTGGCCACCAGCAGAATGCACTGATTGGCCGAGAAGCTGCATAAGAAACAGCAGGAGAGGTCGGCTGACGCCTAAAGCTTGCAGACAGGTGCAAGAGTGAGCCAGGTTCAGAGCACATGCCTGGAGGACTACAAACACCAGCACAGCTCTACATGCCTGCAGAACCAGGGGGTAAGAGGTATGTATATACTTGAAGAACTACAAGTAACAGCTCAGCTGCAAGTCTGAAGCTGAACTGTGAAAGTTCCTAGCCCACCCCATGGTGGAATCACTTCAAAATCACAGTTACCTTTATGTGCAAAGCTTCTTTGCTGCCCTGGGGGTTCGGACACTTTTCCCCATTAGTTATCTCTTCAGGGGCCGATACCTCTTCGGACCTTGTATAGTTCTTTTGCCTGTGAAACGATGTGAGAGGACCTTTTCTACTGAAAGTGTCGCCACCACAAATAGGAAGTGTCCACGTCACAGAGGCAGTGACGGCATACATATGAAATTTAGAGGAGGGTGGGAGCGGTTTTCGTTTTGCCAGAGTTAGACTTTAAGGAACAAAAGGTGAACTTAAAAATCCTCCAGCAAATGTTGTGGCTTGCAATTGTGGTATTTTAAAGGTAATAGTAGTCTTTTAGATTTAAACTCTCACAATTTTGCCTAGTGCTTTGTCATATAAAAACAATTTTATCAGATGGAAAAGGTCCCAGAGCTGTTAAGTGTCCAGCTATTGTTTGACAAGCTGGCACACAATAGCTGGGCCAATATCATTTACCATCACCCCTATAAGGTACACTTGAACATGCTCAGCTTTAGGCATTTGGGGGCCTTTGTTCACGTGGAACTACACATCACAGCATGGGGATAGAACCTTTTGGTGAGTACAGAAGAAGTTAATCCAAGAAAGATCAGAATGACAAAGTGTGTGTAATCATATTTTGTTCACATGAATGATAAGTGTTTTCTTTGCAATTTTCTAGGGATAAGCATGTTTTATTAATTTTAGCTGCGCCAGCTATAAAAGGCACTGGGAACAATTGTGTAGTCTGCAGTGTACGGACTCTGACTCTCCAGCAATTTATCACAATTAAAGGAGGGCTAGGATTTTAAACATGCAGGGTAAACTTGTTGCCAATTGGATTCCAGTAATTAAAACGCTGATAAGTGTTTTGTCTAGTTTATTATTGCTTATACTCTGGTCTTCATATGTTTGGGGTTGAAACATATGGTAACATGCTGTTTTCCTAGGGGGAAACATTTCTTGGATGATTATTTTACAGGAATACCATACATTAGTTTAACTCTAGTAAAACTTGACGTTTAGAGTACCCAGTGAGGTATTTATAGTAGAGTTCCTGACTGTAAGTCACTGCATGTTTCTTACGCTCAGCAGAAAGTTGTGAAATCCTTTTGCGGAATAAATTGACATTGGCCAGCAAATGATCCGTTGTAAACAGATTCTTCTAACTGAAAGAATTTAAAGAAAAACTTCACCTGCGTAAATATCATTTTAGAATTTTGTGGGGAGATAAATGTGCATAATTGGACCTGCTGGAAATTTTCGAAATGTAACCCCCATTCTGATGGCTTGTCTAGACAGGCTTTGGGCTTGTGCCAAAGGCATCAGTTTAATATCAGTATGAATTTAGAATTAATTTGCATTTGACCTGCAGTTGACCTCCTTTTGACCTGTGTTTGACCTGCTTCAAGTGAGGTTACATTCCCATAGACTTGTATGCAAAACCTGCTTGTCCATGGCATGCATCAGCACCATGGACAGTGTAAGGCTGGGTTCACACCTAGGCGACAGCGTTTTTGCGCATTTTGATGCACGTTCTTGCTCTTTTTACGTGCATAAATCAAGTTACGCATTTTATGTGAGCAGATTGTAGCTCATTGATGGTAATGGGCAAACTCGCATATATTTAAGCATTTCCTATTGAGTCTATGGGGCCAAAACGATATGTAATATGCAAAAAAAAAGTACTTTTCCCAGCAACAAGCTGGAACAGGTTGTGCTCAGATATGAACAGGGTCGTTTTTTTTAAGGCAGAAAAAGCACTACAAAATGCTCAGTGTGAACCAGGCCTAAGTGTCTTCACTTCATTTTAAGATGATATTTGCTTAAAGTGAATCACAAACCTGTACAATTCATACTGTGAATATGATAAAAAGGTTACACAGGAGTTGCTTCCAGAGATACCGGCAGCTGAATTTATTTGAAAATCATGGATCTCCCTGCAAAAGCTCAGCTTATCTCCCTCCTTTCCACCTACTTCCTATGAAATGTGATGGGTAGTCTCAGTGGTTTTCTATCAGAGTGCTTGGAAGGTAGATGGGGAAGTTTCCAGTCTCAGATTCCAGAAAACAAGTCAAGATTTGGATGTAATTACAGCTATTTATATATCTGGATATACTGATTGTTATAGCATGTTTTTTATGCTCAATTTGGATTGCTCATATTCACTTTTTAAACATTTTCAGATACATTTGCATGTGAAATAACAATTTCCCTGAAATTAAGTTTTCCATCTTTGTCATCAGAGGATATTTACCAAAATGACATGTACAATAGGACATTGGCATGTTCCTGTAATGGCTGTATGCATAGTGGTCAACAGCCAGTCCAAGAAAATGGTTTGGCTGATTTAACTGATCACTTGTTAGAGTAATAACACTTTGGAAATCCCCCTTTGGTATCCAGTCTGGTGTCTTTCTGCTCCCTTTTGGTCTGTTTAACATACCATTTGAAGCATTTTATTGTGCTGCCCCTGTGTTTTCTCCTGGTTCATATCTTGGACTACAAAATTATTAGGAACTCAAGTAAGGGTTAAGGTAAATGTGTAGGGGTTAGTATTATGGTTAGGAGTTCAAGTGATATTAAACCATTGTTCTTTTTATTTTTAAACTCTGCAGAGGAGATCCACCTGTACTTGTGTTTTATTTATTTTTTTTAATACATCCGATTTCATTTAATATTTCATAGAATTTACCACGGCCCCTCCCCCCTCGCATTTTTGGGGGGTTAGTATTATGGTTAGGAGTTAAGGTAATGATCAGGGTTTAAGAGTTATTATTAGAGTTGAGAGCTAAGGTCAGGGTTTAGGGCTCAGTTTTAGGGTTCGGAGTTAGGTTAAGGTAAGGGTTTAGG